TTTTTATTACTTGCAGGCTTTTTTTTATTAAAAAAATAGTAAGTTCACTTAAATTGTTATTATAAAAAAAAGTTGTCTAGTCGTTCTTCTTCTTCTTCATTATTATTATTTTATTTATTTATTTCTTTTCTTTAGGTCAGTAGAATTGTTGGTGTAGAAAAGGCAGTGAGACTATTATATATATATATATATATATATATATAAACGTTATTAGCCTTATAGGGGGATCTTATTTCTAATGTAGCCCAGGACTACGAGGCAACCGGTGAATAGATGAATGAATATGGTAAAAGCTGTTCGCTTAATTAGCTGAGACGAATTCTCATCGTTACAATTATCATTATTATTCAGAATAAAAAAGCTGACTGAAAGACATTTCTGTCTCCGATGCACACATATCTTAATGTCTATTATGTAACCCCATCCATTACGTGAGAGCCAATCTAATTCTGAACAAGATGGGGAATATATTAGATGACATGCCAGCGTCCAATGTATACATCTCCAGACAAACACGAGACATCCCTGTGTAGTCTCCATACGCTAGTATTATCTTACACGATGAAACATTAGAACAACACGAAGGTTCACTGGCAAGTGGGAAATGGATTGACCAGAAACTACAAAAGAAGCATCAAATTGGTCACATGATTGATCCCATGCCGTTTAATTTTCAATTTCTCCAAGAAGAGTCAGCATACGTACAGTATATTACTATATTAAATCACCAGGGCAAGGCGCAAGGGGGATCTAATAATCTAGACTCTAGAGCCAACTCGTGATTTCCCCTGCAGAGCAGGACAAGGTTTACATAGAATACACATCCTGTTCCCTCAACCTCGTCCAATATTCATACCAAATGTCCCAACAAAACAACAAATTAAAGAAATCTCCTCACCAGAAAAGCATCATCCACCCGCACGTGTTCATCTTTCACAACCAATTTTTACATATGTCAGACACGTACAGATTTGGGTGTGGACGCTGAACAAGGAATCTCGTAAGAGTCAGAAAAAATAGCTGGCATGCTTCCCAACCTCCGTTCTCTGGCGGAGGAGTGGTTCTTCAGCCTGGAATATGAAATCATGGGAAGGAGTGTATATAAAGTCAAGCACGCCAGGTTTGTGTTAATACAGAGAAAGTGGATCGAGGATGAGTAACAGGGTGGGTGATTTTGCAGAATGGAAGAGGAAGAGAGTGGCAAGGGCAGTTCCGAGGAGAGGGCAGATCAAATCCAAGATAGCTGCCAATGCTCTTCACTCCATCGTCTCTGTGCTTTCCAGAGCCTCTTCGTCGGCTCGTCATCGTCCTTCTCCCGCAAAAGCTTTGCCCTTTTAAGATTCTTGCATGTATGCATTGGTTTCGATCGTTCCGTTGAGCTCCTGTATTTTGGTCCGTCTCTTGGCTCTTTTCATCCTCTTTAGAGCATCACTATATGTGGATTTTGATTTGTAATTACGGCTCCGTTCATGTAATGCAGATGCATCCAACCTTCTCTCCTTTTCCTGCATTATCTTTTTTTTTTTAAATTTATTTTTAAGTTATTTTTAATATATTTTTTTAAAAAAGTTATAAAATTTATAACTTTATTCCTAGTAAATATATATATATTTTTAATAATATACTAATCAAGGGTAAAATAAGGTGTTTGTGATAAAAAAAATTTAATGAGGTTCCTTTTTTTTTTTTGAATATGAACATGTTTTTACTTATAATTCTCTGTACTGCTGTAGGAGTACTAAATTATGAAGGAAACTTAAGTTCCATTAATGTCAATTAATTCTGTGTGTGTCTGATGCGAAACTGTCGGTAATTTGCATTTTCACACGCAGATGGAAAGAAAACGGTTGCCTTTTGTTACTTTTCTTACGCAAAGAAAAAGAAATCGAGTTAAAAATAATAATTATTTAGTCCATATATTTGTGATCAATTATAATTCAATTTTTAAATTTTTACTCATTATAACTTAATTTGTAAACTTTATTTTTTATGTTTTATTTTTTATAATTTTAATTATTTAAATATTAATCTCTATATCTTAAAAAATAAAATTTAAAAATATTTTAAACTTTGAATATTTATAATATTTAAATAATATGAATATTAAAAGAGATTAGTTATTTAAAATATTAGTAATAAATTTTAACATAATTTTAATCGATATAATTTTATTTTTAATATATAAAGATTAATATTTAAGCGGTTGAAATTATAAGAATTGAATTGTAATAGTCAAAGTTTAAGAATTGAATTATAATCGAGTTAAAATTTTAAAAATTGAGTTGTAATGAGTAAAAGTTTAAGAATTGAGTTACAATTGAGTTAAAATTACACTAAATAATTAATATTTTTTATTATTAAATTATCAATCTATGCAAAAACCAGATGAATAGTTGACCTCAAGAAAAAAAATTTGGAAAAGGGCTTATTAGTGTGCTTATTGTGAAAATCTAAAGCTACATGTTTACCAACAAAGTCTCCATAATAATTATTAATTACGTTATCATTTCTTTTTTTTTTTTGGGTAATCAAAGTGGGGCCATTGGCTAAAGCCCAACGCCGCCTTAATAATTTTTTGTTAAAAAAGTAATTTTCCACTTTCCAACGAAATTCCGGCCAAAAGACCTTTCCAACGAAATAAAGGCGCGAAATGGAAGTGAAGTGACAAGGCACTCCTCGTCGGCGCTTTTGGGTTTATGAGGTTTTAGGGTTTCTATAAGGTTCGGCAGCGTTTCCTCCAAGCAACTGTTTTAGGGTTTATGAGGTTTTAGGATATTCGCTTGGATTCGAAAACCATGGCTTTCTGGGGTGAGCTGCTTCGATTTTTTTGTTGCTTAACAAATGATTAGGAACTTGAACTCTCCTTAACTCCCAACATTTGCTTATGCCTCAGGAGTGGAAGTAAAACCCGGAAAATCTTTTACTCATAAATTTGATGACTTCAAAGAACGACTACATGTTTCAATGGTAATTTTCTTCAGCCGAACTTCTGATTATCTATGAATAAATTATGGAGACTTTGTTGGTAAACCAGATGAAAATATGAGAGTTAAATATTAGTGTGCTTATTGTGATCCTGCCCCCACGATAAAAGCAGAATATCTTTTTTATTTTGTTTAACCAACGCCAAATAAAAAATTCCGCTAACGCGAACAGTGAAAAAAAAAAAAAGCATTTGAATCGGTCCATTCCCAATATGTTATATTTAAATGTCAGGCCGAAAATAATTAGGTCAATCGAGTAGGCCAATCACCAGAAAAGAAAAATAAAAGGCAACCTGCGACTTCAAAACAGCACAATATAATTTTGGGGAAAGTCCATTGTTGTGGAAGGAATGCCAGAAGAGCCCATAGATCAGGTCAAGGTAAAACCCAAAAACAAAAACAAAAAACAAAAAAAATTGTCGGTGAAATTGCAATTGATGAAGGGGTTTAAAATATTTGTTATACATAATCCAGCCTTCCTACCAAAAGGATGATTTGGCAAGTTAATTATACTTGATTACATTACATCTAAGCAAATTCATAGCATTAGCAGATGAGATTGTTTCCTGTTCATCAGCATTCAGCTACGGTATACAGTATATGGGAACCAAAGAAGTTCTCGTTCCTATAAATGTCAACTTGAATTTCTCCAATAATGGAAAAGGAAGCCGAACAATTTGACTGATAATCTGATAATTAATTATGCGTTTGCCTAATTAACGAACGGTCCCACAGTTCTAAGAATTGCTATATACTATCATTGAAGATCAATTATTAGTTAATATAAATAATCCCCACACCATTAGCAAACATCCATTGTTGATTCTACGAACGGGTAAAGTATTAACATTAAAACACTCACCAGACAAGGCACCGTATCTTCCTTCACTGTTCACCATTAATGCTGGAAGGAGTATAGTCTTGAAACCCCTCTGCGCCAAAGTCATTATGGTATGGGCTTTGATCTGGAATACTGCTTCTTTTATTTTCTCTCTAGTTCCAGCATATAAAAATCTGGGTCAATCCCGTTGCTTTTAATAAAATGATTTGTTTATGGTTAATTTAATCATTTTAATCATAAATTATTAAATCAATATTTTGATCAATCCAATTTCCAGCATTGGGTGCGGGGGATTTAGTCTTGGTATGGGGAAAAAAAAAAAGGGATAGCTTCCTGCATATAGTAAATTGACTAAATCCTGAAATAGTTCTTGGATCCTCCTGGGCGAGCTTAAATTAAATTAAACTAGTATCTTTTATTCTGAAACATCTCTTTCAGGCCACGTTTTCTTCCTTCACTGTTCAATCTTTGTTTCCTTGTGTGCCGGGCACAAGCCCAGAGTGGAAATTATTTAGCATTTCATTTGATTATCGGAGGGACTTGCCTTCAATTGCCATTCACGGACAAGTTCCAATCTCCAGAGTCCGAACCCCGACGAGGTTAAGATCTTGGATTTATAAGTACAAAGCCAGATCGCTGGAATCATTTATTTAAGAAAAACACTGCTTTTCAAAAATCCTATTCAAGAAACAAACATCACCCCAGCTGTTACCTGCAAAAAAATTGCTGTCTATATATCAACGTCTGTGAACCCTGAAAATGACATTTTTTTAAAATAAAAATGGAAATTTTTACCGCCCCATTCTAAGCATTCCCTCTCACGACAAGTAGCCTCTAAATTACTATCCGTATCTGGTAAATTTTCCTCCGGATGCTCTCCTATGAGACTATGAAAAAACTAGTCTTTTCGTTTTCCTTTTTTAAATTAAAATAAAGGAAAAGGCGAGGGAAGATAAATTTGGAGGGTCCTTGGAGAGAGACATCAGCTGCTCACATTAATCATTCACAACCACCGATTTTACTACCATCGGATTCGGTGAGTCTTCAACACGTACGCGTGGAGAGGACATTGTGGTCCACGTGTCATTTCCCTTTGTAGATGGCCGCTCTTCTCTTGACAGGATCTTGGATATTTACACGTACGGGCAAACCACACTCACATGGGCTTTCCGCATTCTATAACTATCTCTCCCATTTTAGATTTTCTCTGAAGCTCTGTTCGGGGAGAGTGCGAGGCTTGGCACCTGTATGTGTGCATGCTCTCTCTCTCTCTCTCTCGCCTTCACCTCTCTGCAACTACAGCTCCGTCCCCTTCTCCTTCCCTCCCTTCGTCTGCTCGTCCTTCCTTTCTTCTGTTTCCATTGTATCATTTCGGCTCTGATCTCACTCGTCTCTTCGCATTTCTTTTTCTGAATGGAGGTCGCCTTCCTTGTGTTTTTCACCCACTTCTCTCGGATCTGGCTTGCATCAATCTGGTAGTTTACCAAAATTTAGGGCTTTTCCGCAATGCATTTTCTCTGATTTCTTCTTTTTCTTCCTCTTTATGCAAAGGATTGGGTGGAAATTTGAGATACCTGGGAAATGAAAGCGACCCAGAAAGATTCGGAAAAGTTGATTTGGGATGAGATGAGAAGCGCTTCCGCTTCCCCCATGGCCGGAGCTGCCACGCATTCACGGACCTTACCCAAGCTTCTTGTCTGGCTCATCCTCTTCGTTTCTGTCACCTATATTGTTTACACGCTCAAGCTAGTTTCCACGTCACGCGCTTGCGATGATGGACCCTTCACCACCGACCGCCTCGCCTCCTCCTCCACCGCTACCACCACGCTCAGCACTATACCCAGAAACAGAATCAATGCCACTGCCTCCTGGCTGGTTCGAAATCGAACGTCCGTAGCTTTAAGACAAGAGTCTCAAGAAATCAGCAATCAAACGGAGCTCCGCCACGTGGTGTTCGGAATTGCCGCCTCCGCAAAGCTCTGGCATCAGAGAAAGAACTACATCAAGCTGTGGTATAAACCCAAGGAAATGAGGGGCATAGTATGGCTCGATGAAGGAGTTAAGACCTATGACAAGGACGGCCTTCCGCCGGTTAAGATATCCAGTGACACTTCCAATTTCCCCTACAAGAACCGGCAAGGTCACCGGTCCGCCATTCGGATCTCTCGGATCGTCTCCGAGACTCTGCGATTGGGGCTTAAGGAGGTGAGATGGTTCGTGATGGGGGACGACGACACCGTTTTCGTCACCGATAATCTCCTCAGGGTTTTAAGGAAATACGATCATAACCAATTCTATTACATTGGTAGCTTATCGGAAAGCCATCTCCAAAACATCTTCTTTTCGTATAACATGGCATATGGCGGCGGCGGCTTCGCTATTAGCTACCCATTGGCCAGAGCTCTGATGAAAATGCAGGACCGCTGTATTCATAGGTACCCGGGACTCTACGGCTCCGATGACCGAATGCAAGCGTGTATGGCCGAACTAGGTGTTCCACTCACAAAAGAAGTCGGTTTTCACCAGGTCAGGTTCCTTACTACACTCTCAAATGTTTCTGTTATTGTCACTCTGTTTCTCTATCATTATTGGATGACTAATTTTACTCAATTATTGTCGGCGATGTTTCTGATGGTCTCTTTGATTTGCCTTATTCGTAATTTCATTCCCTAATACAGTGTTAGCTTTTACGGTCTCGGTGACCTATGTACAGTGGTTACAGCTAGAACTTTCCACTTCAATATTACTCTCCTTACTGTTTTTTTGCTCCCTATACCGCGAGTGAAGAAATGGCGTCTTGTCGGTGTGTTTTGCAATCAATTTCTTTTGTTGTTTCTTAGTAAAGCAAAAGACATCTGTCTTCCCGCATTTAATTTCTCGATAGTGGAATTTAATTGTCCGCTGTGTCCTTGCTGGTGCTGCTTAATGTTGAGGAAAATGCGAGTCCATTTTGTACGAGTAATTTCCAGGACAAACAATACTAACAGCAAAAATTGAGGCTAGTCTTTTATGACACCCGATGCATTTACTTTTCTGTATGAGGGAAAATTAAGGCGAAACGCTACTATTTTTTCAATGTGAACCGTGAAGGCATTCTGTGTACTCTGTCTTGATACTTAGAGAAGACAACAAAAACAAAACAAAAAAAACTCTGTCTATTATTTACTGATAACCTTATGCTTCAAAATGACCGAGAGGAATGGGCAATAGCGTTAGCGGGGGTCCTGTCTAAGTCTTACATGTAAGTGAGGTCCTATTTTGCTTTTCTTAGTTAAACCTTGCAGCCTATTTGGAAGGGGATTGAACCAGGTTTGGATCCGCTCTAAATGCAAGATTCATAATGCGCAAGCAATCATTATGTTGTCTTCAAAATATGTTTAGTCATGCTTCAATTACTTATGTCTTTCTAGAAAATTAAGTGATGCAGATATACTTGTTGTTCCTGAATTTTATTTGTATGATTGTGAACATTTGACCCACTAGTGAACCTCATTGCATAAACTCCCACATTTTTGTGGGTGGTTGGAGGAAATGCTCTGTCCTGTTGCTCTTTTTTGGCTTCTAAAATGGCGAGTATCAGGAATTTCACTTTGTTACTTTCTTGATTTGGACTGTCACATTTCAGGTGTTATACTTGTTACTTGTGCCCAAGTTGCCCTGGAAAGGCAACTAAAAATGATGATGGTTTACGGCTTCCACCTAATGTATTAGTGATTCGGTGTGCTCGGGTATGAAGAGAGGAGCAAACCATGATAATTTTGACTTCAAGGTTTTACATAATCCACTTTTGGGGTGTGGGGATATTTTACTCCCGGACATTAATTTCTATCTCCCACACCGTTAATCCGTGGACTTATAATTCCACAAAAAAAAAAAAAAATTGTAGTCATTCTGTCATTAGTCATTTGGTGGTCTCTTACAGAGGGAACCCTGTTATTCTTCTTTTGTTTGCTCAATTAAGTAACAAATTGGAGCTGCATTTTTTCATTCAACACCATTAATATAGTTGTGCTTGGTGATGCGTTAGTTTTACTACTAACATGCGCTTCTTGTTTAATTGAAACCAGTATGATGTGTATGGGAACCTGTTTGGGCTTCTTGCTTCTCACCCCGTGACTCCATTTGTTTCACTACACCACCTTGATGTTGTTGAGCCGATCTTCCCCAATGTGACTCGATTGGAAGCCCTAAAACGGCTTACTATACCAATGAAGCTGGACTCAGCAGGTCTCATGCAACAATCCATCTGCTATGACAAAGCAAGAAGCTGGACCGTATCAGTCTCATGGGGTTTTGCTGTTCAGATCTTTCGTGGCGTGTTTTCGCCACGGGAGATAGAAATGCCTTCAAGAACATTCTTAAATTGGTATAAAAGAGCAGATTACACTGCTTATGCATTTAACACACGCCCGGTTAGCCGAAACCCATGCCAAAAGCCTTTTGTGTTCTACTTTTCAAAGGCCAAATTCAATTCTACGAGGCAGCAGATAGTGAGCGAATATGATCGGCATCGCGTCCCCCACCCCGAATGCAGGTGGAAGATGATTGATCCTTCGACTTTTGACAAGGTTGAGGTATACAAGAAGCCTGATCCTTATCTGTGGAATAGAGTAAGTACTCGGAGTGTGCTGAGTGTCCATGGATTAGGAGTTTTCTATGTTTGGAATCTTAGTGGTGGAATTGATCAGAAATTGATGTGGATTGGTTTGGCGTCTTGTTTTGCAGGCTCCCAGGAGAAATTGTTGCAGGGTCATGAAATCAAAGAAGTCAGGAACAATGGTAATAGATGTGGGTGTATGTAGGGAAGGGGAGGTCAGCGAAATCTTATGATGAAATGCTATATTAGTGGGGAAAATCTTTTTTCCTCCTTTAGATTCTTAGCTTATTTGTTAATTTTTTTATTGTTCCTCGAGTCGAGTCAGCAAAAATTTTGCATTTTTCCACTGGGTTAGCTCAAGTCAGTGCCGCCCAATTATTTAAAAGGAGTGAGGTTGGGGTGGAGGTGGGGGTGGGAGGTCAATGTACAAAAACGACGTGTAGTTTAAACAAGCTCTTTATTGACTCCCTATTAGTTTAATTTAATTTGTAATTGAATGACGGAGTAATGTCGGTTGCGATGAGGGGGTATTTATGAAGCGGTGGCGAGCAGAGCACATATAAACTAGGGTTTGATTTTTTAGCCTGAGCTGTTGTCCTTTGCATGTCAAAATTGCGAGTGGAGTCAACGAAGTGAGTAGCTGGATCGGAGGAGGTGAATGATTGAATTTGGTGGACATTTGGAGGGTCCCTCTTGGTTTCACAGGGCGTCGGTAAGCAGACTGGCAGTAGATTGCATTGAGGGACAATGAAAGGGATAGAGATGTTATTTTCCCATTCAACGGTGTCGTGTCGTCCTTGTGCTATTAATGATTTCAATTAAAAATCCATGATGCGGGGGGGGGGCCATTCTTTTTTTCACGCATTGGGCCCATGTGTCTGTACTCTCTACCGGTTTTGTTTTTTAAGGGCATGACCCCAATCAATGCTTTTTTTTTTTTATTTAATGGTAACCATATTTCTTACTTGGAGGAGATCCTGGTTTCCAACTTGGTATTGGTGTGTTTCCTTTCCTTTTCTTTTCTTTTTGACGAAAGGCTGGCTTAGGTATAAAATTTTGAAAAAAAATATTATCTTTTCCTAACATGTTTTTGATTATTTTTATTATTATTAAGGACAATTAAACACCCATTACAACTAAATACACGCACATCCACAAGTTCGTGCTTGTGACCTTCCGCATCGATGGAGTGATTTTGGGAGAACAATCTTGGGATTAAGGATTTTTCCCGTGAGTTACATCGTCAATAAGATTTGTGATATTTCATATTTTACCAAGAAAAATATACGACTGCCAGCAGTCTTCCACGTAAATTTGGCCAATTGAAAAATAAAATTCTCATTGATCTTTGTGTTATGTATGTCATGTGCAAATTTTCATAAATGGAGCTGTTAAATTGTATAATCTCTTTAACTTTTAAAAGTTGAAGAGAAGCCTCCATAATTTTTAAATGGAATAAAATAATTTTTAGTCTATTATGTTTTGGGGCTTTTATTGATTGGTCCCTCAACTTTAATTTTTATTATATCAATCTTTAATGCATGGTCCTTAATCTTGTGAAAAAATTAACATCATTAAATTATGTGAACATGGTAGTGTAATATGGGATAAAATATAATTAAAATTTAATTTAGGATATTAAGATTATTTGACATGAATATTTAAATAAGAATATTTATATATTAGAATTAGTTTTGATTATTTATTTTATTATTATTTTAGATATCAGTTTCTTTAAATTTGATTTAGATTTATAATTTAATATTTAAATTTAAATTATTATTATTTTATTATTTTAAGGCTTTACAAATAGAGTTAGGCTCTATTTGAAGGTCCAAACAAGGCACAAAAAACTTACTATTCAATGCGCTTAACTAGAATGTCTTCATCACTTTCCACAAGTATGATTATCGTTGGATCTTGAAAGTTTTCAATTTCTTCACACTTTTATGGCATTTTGAGTAAATTTTTTTTATTGATATGAATTTCTGTATTCCAAAAAAAAAAAAAGAAAAGAAAGGAAAGGAAACAGAAAGAAGAAAAGTAGTGACAAAAGGAGGGGGAACTTGTCATGATGCTTAGTTGTCAATATGAGCTACAGCAAATACACACATTTAGACAAATGGTATGAATATGCTAATCCATCACGATATGCTCAACAATGAGAGGATTATGCTTAATGGTACATATATAATGAATATCAACAATGGTATACCTATTCGTTGCAAGATACTTATTGGCAAGAGAGTTGCTGGTATGGTTATGAAGAGCAACAATCAGTCAATAGTATAAACAGATTGATTGTGACAATTGTCAGCGTCGCTATCTTCAATTGGAGTACGTTAATCATAAGCGATGTGAGTATGAAGACTAATATTGGCATGAGTACATTAGGCAACGACGATATAAGCATCTTAATAGTCATCAACATAATTATGTTGATCAATACAAGAATGGTACCCATTGCCATTATGAATGTACTGACTTTCAAAAGGAAATAGTTCAAGTTATCACTTTCAACAAGAACAAAATTATTATTTTGACAAGCGTAGGAGGGGCTATAGTAAAATTAAAAAGGTAATCTATGAGGTTAAGAGGATAGTTGATGAATTGAGAAAACAAATGAAAGAACAAGTATCAAGCGAATCAAAAATGGTAGAAGCTCCTTCCTTACTAGAAGAAGATTCTCTAAACAATGATTAGGTTATCTACTACACAACATTATAAGTGGCTTCTTCTCAAATTATTTCTAACAATGATTAATCTCATTACACTACAACTATTCCTCATCTACAGGCTACATCTCCTAAGGCTACTCCGCTGCTTAATGGTCAAATCCAACAATTCCTTGTCCCTTGAAAAGGTTTTTCAAAAATTTTGTATATTCAAACTACTCATTCTTGCCCGAGCTTGTTCTTTTGCTACCTAACTTGTTGGAAGAAATTCTCAGATGCTTGCCTATATCAAGTTTCTTGCTCATGTGAAAGCTTACTTTTTCAATATCTCACTTGTTGGAAAGAGTTTTCAGATTCAAGCACTTCATTAAAATTTATCTTATCCTTCCTTTCTCAAATTTGTGCCTCAATTTTAACTCGTCAAGAGTTGAGTTTTTCAAGCAGCGAAGAAATGGTATAATATGCGATAAATTATAATAAGGATTTAATTTAGGATGTTATGGTTATCCAATATGCATATTTAAATAAATATATTTATCCATTAGAACTAATTTTGATTATTTATTTTATTAATATCTTATATATCAGTATCTTTAAATTTGATTTAGACTTAGAATTTAATATTTAAATTTACATTATTATTATTTTATTACTTTAAGACTCTATAAATAGAGTTAGACATTTTAATTTATATCTAGTTTTGAGTTTTCAATGATAAGAGTTCTATTTTCTCGGCCTCCTCTCTCTCTCTCTCTTCCACTCTCTCCCTTTCCGCGTTATATCACATGGCTAAGGGAATAATAATGTGGCATTCATATAGATTAATAATTTGAGAAGCAAAGTTACTTGGATAATAAAAACAACAGTTTTAGAAAATAAAAAAGAACCACCAGGATTAAACGCAACTTTTAGATGATTTTGGACAAGTGACTTGGCATAAGAAAAACAGAATCATGTCTGCAAAGTCTGTAGCCTGAATAATCTATCGGGCACGAAGGTCGAAGGGGAAACAAAGAGGAGCACCTGCAGACTGTCGTCGTCATCGTTCTTCATCTGTCTTCGCGTTCTCAAGTACCATTCGTTTTCTCGCATGCATGCTCCTTGCTATAAGCTTTGAATCTGATTCCTCCCCTCTATTTCGCTCTGAATGCGTTGAATCATGTTTGTCATTACCATATATGCATTGGCCCAACAGCAATGCACCACTGCCCCGCACTTCTTGAAACATCTCAGCATGTTTATGTTTTTGGCAGTTGACAAATGTTTCTTCCAAAAAGACTTCTAAGAATAACAACAAAATCTGGGAGTAACCCTCCCCTTCCTCTCATTAAAGGAACGCACAGTTATCCAGCTTCTTCCAACTTAATTTGATCTTCTAAGGATAAAGATATTTTGGAAATAATTTATTAATTGCTAGAATGTGTGTCTGGTTTATTTAGTAGGTTCAAGCCATATATAGATGTTACCATTTGTGCACAGATGAGCGGGAAAAAGACTATGATTCAAACTTAAAGATTCAGCAGCAGGAATCATCCAAGCAACCGGGAAAGCAATGGAAGAGCAGCAAGCTTTGATCAACGAAATAAATTATAAAATATAAAATATATAATATAATAAATAACAGATAAGCAATAAGGACTTGGGAGATTGGCTGATTTGTTTTATTTAATCTCTGTATATTCCACATCAACAATTTAATTTTTATATCAGCTTTTTTTTGAGCTATTTTGTCTCATAAAATTTAAAAGAATAACTTGATAGTTAAATAAAATGTTAAGAACTGGAATAATAATAATAATAATTAAAGGATACATCCATAGAAGTCCAAATATAAGGAACTAACAGTTGCTTTATCCATTTATTCTTTTTTAGTGCACCCAAGGCTCCTAAAATTCCCGTGCAAATAAATGATTGTTATGTTACATTATTATTTTCAAAAGTTTACAAATTTCTTAAAAATATTTTGTTATAAAAAACGAAACAATTATTTATGGATAACTTGAAATTCAGAAAAATTATGCACAATTGAACCATTGTAATATGGCGTGCACCATTTAGCTGGCCTATAATACATGCTATGGGTTTGTGTGCAGCACGGGCCTGCCAAGCCAAAGTAAAGCCCATGGACAACGGAGGAGAGTGAAGAATTGGCCCAAATACTTACATCAGGCGACTTCGCACTGCGGTGCATCAAGCATGATCTAGTTCAGATAACAAGGATTTGACCAATAATCTATAAAATTATGAGATTAAATCTTGTTGTCCATGCCAGAATTTTGTTGACAGATAATTTGTAGCAGGTATCTTTATAAGCGTTTATTGAACTTGAAAGCACTCAAATTTTAACGAGTCTACAGACCCAATTTGTCTAAATATTTTTTAAAAAAATATAATTTTTAATCTTTATAGTTTCATCGAATTTTTTTTTAATTTTTATAATTTTTTTCATATTAAAAAAAATAAAAATTTAAAAAACAAAGGTCACCTAATGTTTATAAAATTATAAAAATTAAAAATAATAAAAAAATTATAAAGATTAAAAATAAATTATGAGGATTAAAGATTATATTGTTTTTATAAAAAAAATCACATCAAGCATCTGCTTATGAAGACGCTGTGGGGTCTGATCATTGAAAAAAGTGAGAGTAAATACAAGATGTCGTAATAACTAAGGATGAGACGACTACCTGCATTGTCCTTTTCTCTCTTGTGATCACTCCTCCCGCCCAGTCATGGATCCATTTCCACCGCAAGCCCCTTATGTGTTGCGCAAATCTGAGCCACCAGATTTTGCAGCCAAAAGTGTTCCCAACATGTAGCGATCACAAATTCTGGGAACATGTTCATCTTCCCCTTTACCACACTCATAACACCCTACTTATGTCTGCTCTACCCTTCACCTCTCTTCTTCCAGTTTCTCGGCATTTCTATTTAAACACGATCCAATGCTGCAACGACCTGGGACACACCACGAAGCTACCCAACAACCATTATGGAGGAGCCAGATTTCCCGAGAAGAACACTTTCATCCATCATTCTTCCATAGCTCCACCTCCAAGGCCTCGAAGGATCATCCTCGTTCGACACGGACAGAGTGAAGGGAATGTCGACGAGGCTGTCTACACGCGAGTCGCCGATCCTAAGATAGCCCTCACCGGCAAAGGCAAGGCTCAAGCAGAGGAATGTGGATATAGGATCCGGGACTTGCTTCTCAAAGACGCCTCTGAAAATTGGAAACTTTACTTCTATGTGTCCCCTTATAGAAGGGCTCTCGAAACCTTGCAATACTTGGCTCGCCCATTTGAACGCTCCAGAATTGCTGGCCTCAGAGAAGAGCCCCGTCTAAGAGAACAAGATTTTGGTAATTCCTCTGCTTTTTGACTGTACTTTGTTCAGCTGCAGCCGGATTCACCGCTTCTTATGTCTTATGATCGTGAAGGGAATTTTCAGAACAGAGAGAAGATGAGAAAGGAGAAAGCAATGCGCATGCTTTATGGTCGTTTCTTTTACAGATTTCCAGACGGAGAGTCGGCGGCTGATGTTTATGATAGAATCACAGGTAAGCTACCGTACCCCTGAAATCATCGAGATTGACCGATGAAAGTAGAAGCTTAATGATGCAATATTGGGAACCGCCAAACAGGATTCAGAGAAACTCTGAGAACAGATATTAACATTGGGAGGTTTCAGCCGCCCCGAGAAGAGAAGATAGACATGAACCTGGTCATTGTGTCGCATGGTCTCACACTTCGAGTATTTCTCATGAGATGGTACAAGTGGACTGTCCAGCAATTCGAGGGACTGAACAACATGGGCAACGGACACATGCTTGTCATGGAAAAGGGCTATGGTGGAAGGTATATATTAACTTTTCTTAACCACCCACAGATCAGTGTTGTTCATGGGAATCTCATCAATTCTCAACTGTATCTACTTATGTATGCACAGATACAGCTTACTGGTGCATCACAGTGAAGAAGAGCTGAGAGAGTTTGGGTTGACAGATGAAATGCTAATTGATCAGGAATGGTAAGAACACAATCATGATTCTAATGTTCTTTTGTTTGATTCACTTACCACTAGCTGTCATGGTTGTTCTAACTGATATTTGTGGTTGCTGTATGTACGTGGTGATGTATGAAGGCAAATGTTCGCAAGACCAACTGATTTGAACTATGATTGCCCGATGCTCAATTCCTTCTTCCCTCATCTGAATGAAGAATTAAGTAGGACGACATAAGAAGCATGATTGGCAGATGTTATATATCCATAATGTTCAGTAGCCGTTAAAATCTTGTTGTAGCATGAAAAATGATCATAGAACTCTCTTTTCCTTCCTATATGCTGTGTGTGCGTGGGATACATGAGAATCGACATCTATGTTTGCGGTGCAAATTTTCTACTTAGTTATCGCTTAAACATTATGACCAGAAGCTTGGAACGATTTATGGGTGGAAGGTGTGGTTTTGAGACTAGCCATTATATTTAGACACTTGATTGTTGATGTATTAACCTGCAGCAATATATTACTTGTAATAGTCTGAAAGAAGCTAATAAGTATTGACAGGTGTTTAAATTGTTAAAAAAAGAAAATTGTTTCTTTGCGGAAGAGAAAGAGAAAGCGGGGCTAGGGAATGAGGAAAGCAGTAAAATGGAGATGCGGGGTATCGATCCCCGTACCTCTCGCATGCTAAGCGAGCGCTCTACCATCTGAGCTACATCCCCTTGATCTTTCAAGGGCCTTTTCCTAAATTATATCAATATAATTTACACTGGGTTATAATAATTATAATATTATGATAATAATATAACAACATTTATAGAATCTCGTGGGAGCTTGGCTTAGTTACATATTGGTGGCTCAATTTCATTTTGGATTGCATGCACTTTTGTCCTCTGCATTTAGATCAAGCTGGACTTTTCTTTTGAAAAAGATGTCTGCCCCACCCAAAAAAATCTGAAAGAGATTCTAGTAAATAAACAAGTCTTGCATCAAACAAAATAAAAGGAAAAGAAGGAAACAAAAACATTATCCAGAATCTTTAAAAGAAGATTAATCAATCTCCAAAAGATTATTAAGTAAAAAATTTGGGGGCCGAGCAGCCCAATTTGTTGAACAAAATTTCTTTAAGCAACGCAACCGGCCACTATATTAGCTTTCCTGGCAACCTAAGAGAACAAGGAGTTCATTAAAAGATCATCTTAAAAAATATGTTCTCAAAAGAGTAGAAACAATTCTACTATACATGAGCTAATCTTGAATTTAAATAGTTGATTAAACATTGAGTCATAATTAAAAGAAACTGCATGAATATCATTGTAAACGCAAACTCAACTACACGATTCATTGTTAAGAATTTTGCTTCAGGAGCAGAGGAGGCAACAAAAACCCTGGATGAACCATCCACAATCCTTCCATTGCAATACCTCGCAACAGAAATGATTGCAGCATGCTTTAAATTCTCTCTAAATGCACAATCAGTATTAATTTTTAAAGAATTACCCAAGGGAGCAACCCAGTTTTGGTGTGAGTTAGATTCAGCTTGGTCAACAACAATACCAGCATCATTAAACTAGCCATTAGCATCCCAAAATTTGGAAAATATTCACTCGATTATTAACAAAACATGGGTCCACCATGACTTTTTTATATAAAAAACAGCATCTGGATTTTCAAATATGCTAAAGATTGCACGAGAGCTTTTTGCCACTGATCCAAATTCTAATCCAGAAACCAAGAGGCAGGCAGGCCAATGGTTCATTGAAGATACATTAAATTAAAATAAGTAATTATCCTTGAGCTTGCAAACCAAGATGTCTTGGTTTCAAGATATGCATTTATCCTTTATATATATATATATATATATATATATATAATTCAGATACGTGAGTTTTGGTGCAATACTACTTTCTATGACATCTTGAATTGCATGCATTAGAGAGCCACGTCTCAGAGGACAGGATTTTGGCAAGTCCCCTGCTTCCGACTGTAATTTTCCGGATTCGGTGTATTTTGTTTGCTGGGCATGAGACTAATGTTCCATCCCTCTAATCTCTTGAAAGTTGAAATGTCCTAACCTTTCAATTTTATTCATTTTTTCAATCATTACATTTGGTCTGTAATGCCTTGCAAATGAGCCTAACAATAAGATGATGATTAAATTTCCCTGGCCATTAAGTCACTCCCATCAGTAATTTCATTTTCCAGTTATTTCTTAATGCAGTCATCTATACAAACTGCAGAAACTCTTATGAGTTATGACCAATGTGACATGCAACTCTTTTCTCAATTCAATCCGAATGGGTGTTTCTGGCGCCAGTGCTGTCTGCGATGATTCATTTTAATTGACTTCTGTGATACTGGCATCACAATTCAGAATGATAATTTCCGGTCAACCAAATTGTCGACCATAAATTCCATGACTTCCGGTTCAATACACTTTACAAACCCATACTGCTTGAGCTTTTTGAACCCTCCAATTACCGTGTCGAACCCCGCCGGGGTGGGTGGTGGGGGGAAGGAAAGCCCAAAAAAAAAAAAAGGGAGCCTCATTGGTAATAGAAATAATCAAATCATATTCTCAAGTGCCAGATGTGATTATATTCCCTGCAGCTAAACTTCCATAGAAGTTATTCCCTATATAACACAATCGGTTCAATATATTGAGTCACATTTAAGAATCAACAGACTAATCTGCAAGGAAATACAAAGTATATATCCATCGTGACCTTTCTTGCCTCCAAAGCTAACGGATGCTGTCCCATTAAACAAATTCGCCTCATTGTCCTCTTCACCAGCCAAAAGCTGCTGTGCTAGTTATATACCAACCGAGGCAAGGACCAACCTTTCCCTCACGACCATACCCTCTTCAGCAGTTTTCGTCCATAGATCACAAACTCATTTTCATCAATAAACTGCAACACCACGAAAATTCCCATTAAAACAGATATTTTAGAAATAAATTTGACTAGAAGGTGGTAGGTAGGAGTGTAGAACATGACAGTCAAAGGCATCCCACTGAAAATATCAATGCAATTCAGACTTCAGAAAAGAAAGATGCAACATTCTGACAGAAACATGAGAACTAAATGAGCTAGCTGGCAGCATGACAATAGTAGCCAGCAAATTCATCAACTTCCAATCACAGAGGACAATAAAGGAAAGAACACGATAAAATACTAGATTTTAGTCCATGAATTATCAAGCAACTTCATAATTAAAATGAAGGCCCGCACAAAATGTAGGTGGTTTGCCCCAGAGTAATCGACAAGTTGACAGTATATCCATATAGGTGTAACAATATGCAGCGTGCTTTAACAATCTGCCAACAAGCATTGCAAACCAAATGTAGCTCATTTGATGGTATACAATACTATTAGATAAGTTGTTCATCTATTTCCTGCATGTATTAGGAGTGGGAACCTGAAATATTAACTAGCTAGCTAGTAAAGCATTATTTACTTAAAAATTTATCCTTCTTTTAGAGTGTCGTCTATTCAGCTAATGAGACAGACTTCATGAATCAGGCAAATCAAATAGAGCATAGACGAAGAAAGAAAAGAAAAATGATACTAAGCATCCAGTCAAACCATAACACGGATTACTTCCAACAGAATAGGAGCTACATGATAATAACTGTTAACTTCATCCCCCACAAAATCTGAAGATGGCAAGCCTAACATGCTTCAACCAACTAAACTCCCCAGGCAACCAATTAAGCTTGGTTTTAAAAGGAAGAAGATTTAAATACTAACCATCATAGAGTAAACAGAGTAGAGAAGATCATGAGAATGTATAAGGAGACAGACCCAGTAAAAACATTGTGATATGAGAATTCTTGCACCCTGAGATTATCGGCCTTCAAGGGTCATCTATTGTGGCAGTTGTGATTCGTAGATGCTGTGTCCTTTCTTGCTCTCCACTTCTCTTCCAGAAAGCCCGTCTCCACCAAATTTCAAAACCTCTTTGTATATTTGGGCAGTCTTCGCCAGAATTCAAGAAACGGTTAAACCAAGCAAGCAAGAATTCCTGTTGCCAGGAGAGTGGCAGAGTGAGGATGGTGTTGCTAAGACCATCCTCAATTAGGTGACGATCAAGGCCTTTGGATGCCCTCCTCATCCAACCAAAATCATCATAGAATGGCACTAGCCATGTTTTTAGTAGTAAACACCTGGCATCCTTAGAAGCTAACAACTGTCCCTTCCCAATCCCAACAAACAATCTTGCTGTAACTCTGCTAACCTCAAACCTGTGAACTGCAGGAACTTTGGAATGAGCTTCAGATAATTCAGATTGAGATGCCCACGTTTTCAGGAAATCCTCAGCAATCTGTCTATCGATTAAAATATCCAAAATCCAGTACAGATTATCTGCTTGTCGTGCAATTTGACCCACGTCTTCCAAGTCAGAAGCTGCAGCTCGCAAAATATGGTGTCCGAGTAGTTGCAGACAGTCATCACAAGCAGAGTACAAGGACTCTTTGCGGAGATCATTTTGAGATGAATTCTCACGAAGCATCTTTGACACTAACCCTTTCATTTCTCGCCTGGCCTTCTCATCTTTTCCTTCAAGTACCACACGAATAAGTTTTAGCAGAACTTCCTCATTATCATTTGCCTCTTCATTTCCATTTGTAAATTCAGTTGAAACTCTCTTCAAAACCTCCCCAGCAGCTTCAAGACGAAGCTCGGATAGAAGTGAGGCCACTTTCTCTTCTTCGTCCTCTGCCCACGGGGCTGCTTCCAAGTATTCCAAACAAGACAGAACCCCAGCATCAAATCCAATGGCCGCTGAAACCTAACAGACCACAACAGCAGCAGTACATTCTAGGAAAGTCAATCAAACAACCATAAACAAGGAAATTTGAGGGGGTGGATAATAATTATTTTAAAAAAAGAACGAACAGAGTTAGCATTATAGGAAACAAGATCCATTCCTAAGGTACCTGAGATCCCTTAAACGAGGGAGTCCTCCTTTGTTTAGTAATTGATTTGCCTCCTACCAAACATATTAAATTTGGCATTCGCTCATCCATTCCCTTTCCTTATCACTCATTCCCACGCACCAAACGGAGCCTCACAGACAAATATATATCCCTAATTTTTAAGTGATATACACGAACTTACGATGTAATAACCCGAACATTAGAATTTATATCTCACTGAGGGTGGTAGAACTTCTGTTCCTAGAGTCTCTACAATCTACCCAATCAGAGCTAGTAGCACCTTCTAAAGGGGGCTAAAAATCTAAAACATTAAGAATGGGGTTACCTTTAAGATACCAAGAACTCTGGAAACATCCTCCTTCATAAGCTTCTTCCTAAGATCCTTACAGTACATCAACCTCAACGTCTCGATGTAAATTTCAACGTCATCGCAGTCAGCGATTTCAACAATGTGAGGCAGCGTCTGCCTCTGCTGTTTCGCCCAGCGATCAGAGAGCTTGACGGAGAAGAACCTGCTGTGGGCAACAAGAATTTGTCGGTGAACGTTCATAGAAACGCTAATTCCGTCCTTGGAACTAAGCGTCAGATTGATATCACTGGAGGACGGATCGTTGAACTGGTTACCGGGGCTGCGGGCGGCCAGCAGGTCCGATATCCGTTGCATCATCAGAGCCTGTCTATCCTGTACTAGAATTTGTGGCTTTTGCGCAGAGGGAGAGACATTTGTTTGGGGGATCTGAGTTCTGGGATGGACATCGGGCTCGCTCGCCATCATTTCAAAAAGGGTGGGGCTCGATCGAGCCTTATTGGGAGCCAGCGGCGGGGACATTGGATTCAACAGCCCAGCAGTGAGGGCAGAGTTGAATTTGGTAAAGCTGGAAGGGAACGACTCCTGAGAGGAGTGCCCATTGGCGGGGCTCCCCGAGTAGCTAAAATCCATAGTCGGGGAAAACGCACCAGGCGAATATCGAATCCTGCAGGTGGAGGGAGAATTGGAAGGCGAAGAAGCCAATGCGGAATGGTTGAATGCGGAAGCCTCAGGAGAATGTAGAAGGCGGCGGGGGCGGTCGGAGGGAGGATCAAGGCAGCGAGAGGAAGAGGAAGGGGAAGAGGAAACGGCGTCGTTGGGGGCGGAAGAAGCAGAGGCGGAGATAGTGGTTTCGCGATGCTTGCGACGCTTGGGCTTGGAAGGCTGGTTTTGGACCTTGAGGTGAGCAGTGTTGGTGGTGGTTGTAGTTGTCGTGGCTGCCATGAAATACCCAAGAATTCCGTTTTGTTGTCCTTTAGGGCATGCGCATCGAGAGAGAGAGAGAGAGAGAGAGAGAGAGAGAGAGAGAGTTAAATGGCGATGGAAACGAGATGATGGAGTGGCGCAGGAGGGACTCAGTCAGACACAACTAAAAGGACACAACCAGGCCAGAGTGACAGAGAAAGCCACTAAAATGGAGGGGGAGAGAGAGAGAGAGAATGCTAAAACAGGCGTAGTTACAGGTTAAGCATGAGATGATTTGGTTGAGGGTATTGCGGACTTGCTGAGGTAATTCTTTGAGTCGTGAACCAGACGCTGGGACAGCAGGGCATGGGCCTTAGCCCTTTCTGTTGTGCCGTTCTTTCTTGCTTCACTACCATCTAATTAAGTCATCTTCCATACAAATCCAAACCATTACTTGCATTCTTTGTTTTTTTGGGGCATTTATCATTGTGTCGTCTCCAACTTTCTTTTCTTCCAAGGAATACGCACCAGGGTATTATTTTTCATCATCACACGTGACCTGTGTTACTCCCATACTTTCTCTAGGCCTAAACAGCCATTCCATCACTCATCTCCTTTGCCTAACCCATGTTTGGCTGAGGCTCGTGTCTCATTGAAATAAGCAATTGAATTGCGAGTTCGCTTTTGTGTGCCTTGTCACCCTTTCCACAGCGCAGCACGAGTACCCTTTTTCTTTTTAAAACATAGTATAAGGACTAAGCAATGGATATCATTTTTTGGGATAAAAAATAGATATCATATTTTCTTTTAATTAAGTTGCTATATGTACAAGAATTGATATTCAAACCTTAATTACTTGTGTAAATGAGAAAAGCTCATGCCAGTCACATCAATTTTAATTCGTTAGGGCACAAATACTTTGCTGGATCATGGATGTGGCTTATGCAACTATAAAAGAGGCCAAACGTTAAAAAATGAGAAAACAAAAAGCACTTTGTCCCATTCTTTATCTTGAGGGCAAGCAACTGTCATTCCAACCTTTTTTTTTTTTTGGTAATATTCCAACCTTTTACAACAAAGTTGTCTTCTTCCCCGTTCTGCTTCATAAATTTGGGGTCCCATGTCCCAGGAATTAAAAAAAGGCCTGAGAATGGGGTACTCGTGCTGGCCCATCCATTTAATATGCAGCTCTCAACCCACTCAGAATATTATAATAATAACCCAATGCTGTTGGCTCAAATGGTAAAAAATTTAAATTTCCTTATCCATTAGCTTTAAAGTTTGATTTTTGAGGTGATGAGAATAAAGAAAATATGCTTAGGAAACCACCCTTTTTTGGAGCCCCAGAGTACTCCAATGTGAATTAGTTAAGGTCATTGGTTTCAAATACCAAATGGTTATAAAAAAAAAAAAAGAAAAGTTGTAATAATAATAATAAAACAACGAAACCAGCGAGGAAAGTGCAGTGTTGTGCTCTTATATTAATTTATTTGCTAAACATAAAAGTGCATTGCTGGACGATTCATTCAACTTGGTTCCTCTGCAGCTTTGCGTGGCACGTAGAGATTATTTATTTGACCGAAGGAGTTGGGCTTAAAGGCCATGACTTTTTGGATCTCTCACTGTTTGGATACAACATAATAGGTTGGCAGGTCAGTGTTCTTTCTTCTACGCCCCAACTAGTGTCACTTCACAAGTGATTTGTCATGAATGTACCAAAAATTACATTATGAGGATTTTATTGATTGATGATTTATAAATATTTATGCAAATATATTTTAAACTTGAAGATATGTTGTGATCTTAATGATTTCTCAAAACTTACTAGAACTTTTGCATAAAAAAAAGATCATTGAAGTGCTTCTTCACTTAATTTTTGAACTAAAAAATGCATTTGAATGTCGAAAAACTAAGTCATTATGTATTTTTAGTTGTATTTGTAAATATTTGATGATCCTTTCACCTATTCGTACATCACATTGACTTTGATATGAAACCAAAGCTCACCTAAAGTGTTCATTGTTTTAATATTCTTTTTTTTTAATGAAAAGTAGATACTAAGTACAAAAGACAAACAAAAATAGATTAGGCAGTTGCCTTTCAAAATCTACCCCACCTTACATGAGAAGGGGTTGATGATAAAAGATACTAAAATAGTGAATGCTATTGAGGCCTAACCTAGTAATTTCAAGAATAAATATATAAGGCTCTTTACAAGCAAGACAATTAAAAGAACACATTCCATTCTCTCATAAGGAGGCCTTTGAAAATAGAACTGATTTCTTGCTCACTTTGCATCCAAAATGTATCTTTAGTCAACAGATTATAAAAGCTTCGTTGACTTAACAATGATGAAGACCATGATAAATGCTCTTTAAAGCAGTGATTTCAATAGGGGTGTCAATTTTCTTGTGAAAGCAACCTAGCTCCCAAGTAAGATCTCTGCGTATGATGACCATTGATCCCGTCTAAATTCCTTCTAAATTATCCACACTTCCTACCTATGTTTGAACATCAAACATGTTTTGGTTAGGTTCATTGGTAGAGTTTCCCTTTACATGAATAATTATATTTGAACAAAAAATCATCTTCATATCCTGCATGGCTCTGTACAGTGTAGTTAGAGCATTTACATTAGGATCTTCAACTTCATTACCCAACAATAGCCTATCTCTCAGTCCTAATTTCCCAACAAGTGTAGGAGAAGAGAATCTTCCAAGATAATTGCTTTGATTTACCTCCAACTTCGTTAGTTAGATTCCACGATAGCTATTGAGTAATACTTCCACTATTGAAATTGTGCCATTTGTCGCTAGACACTAATTGTAGCCACCTCAATCTAGCCAACCAACAGGTCCCAAATAGGTGAATCTCATCTTCTATGCAAGCACACACAAGCGAACAAGAGTTTGACTCTAAAAGCCCTCTTTGGTTTAAGTTTAGTTGTATGAACAGCATCATGCACCATTAACCAAGGTAAAAACTTCATTTTCTCTAGAACTTAAAATTTCTAGATGCATCTCTAATTGAATGTTCTAACTCAATCTATGTCAACAAGTAGAAAGAGTAGGCAGGATTAATGGAAAAATAACCATCAGCAGAGTGTTTCCAAATAAAATCACTCTATCACCATAGCTAAACTTAACTAATTCCTTAATAATTCAAGAATTAAAATTTGAGATGTTACAATCTTAATACCCAAACTGTCAAGAAAACTATCATAAACTATTAAGATGCCAATCGAAGTAAGAGAATCATTCCTCTTCTTTACAATTAATGGGATTGATCTAGCCCCACACTTATATTTCTCCTTTATAGCCTGCACCCATAACTTGTTCAATTGATTAACTAGGATCTAACAAGGTTTCATAATATAGGCTTCATTTTACTTCTTTATATTTTTCACCCCCAAGCCTTTGTTCCACTTACTCAACTCTACCTTGTTTCATAAGATAAGATGCACTTTCTTGCAGTCAAGTGAATTTCTCCACAAAATTCTCTATTGTGCTTCTCAATCTCATTGAGAATTTTCTAAGCCTTGTTTGCATAAAGTAACTGAGCAAGGTTGAAATCACCAATTTAATAAGAGTGGTTGTACTCACAAGGTTCAACATTTTACCCTTCCACACACTACTACATGATAAATAATACTTGACGCCTTATATTTGACGGTTGTCTATGAAAACTGTCAAATATAAGGAGGCAAGATTTGAAAAGATAGATTATCTGATGCTTCCAAACAAAATCGTCAAGTATATTAAATTTTAAATTAATAAGTTTGGTGGTTGTTTAAAAGAATTGTTAAACTTGTTGAAATTTTTTTTTGAAAATTCTGCTCAAAACTTGACAGTTTCGCCACTAAACCTTCAAACTTAATGAAGCATATTCAATGGTTAAAACTAACAATCGTCAAGTATATTCATTTAAAACCCTTCCCTATCATTTTTGGCCATTAATGCTCTATTCATCCATTTGGCCTTCTCCATCATTTTCAACATTCTCATCCTTAGGTGAGTATGAAATCTTTACTTTTTGCTTATGAGTTTTGTAATTAATTGTTTATTTAGCTTTTTCAAATTTCCTATAGTGTTTTAAAGCATCCCCTATGTTAACTTCAATTCCAAATCATCTTCTTTGCATCATTGCTGCTCTTTGGGTTTAATTTGAGATGCTTGCTCATACTTTGGGTTCAATTTCAAGTGCGTATTCTACCTACATTTTAATATAGCCACCTCTAATATATAACGAGAGCTTACTTAATGGTTGTTGAAAGTCAAATATGGGAAAAAACAACCATCAAATATAGCCATTTTTATAGTAATGACCCTTTCATTTTGCATTTTCCTTTCCACTAGTGGTGCAAATATAGCAGACTTAACCCTCTTGTGGATTAGAGGAATTCCCAAATATTTTCCCAATTCTCCTGTAATGGATGCTCCAAGTCTTCTACTCATCTCAAAAGCTCGTGAGAAGTGAATATTTTTGGAGAAAAACATACGAGTCTTATTAGCATTCATTTTCTAACCTAAAGCATCATAAAATCTATTTACACACCTAAGCATGACATCCATTTGGTAGTTAGAGGCTTCACTAGAAAGCACCAAGTCATTCGTGAAAAAGAGATAAGACGCCCCTATGCCATGCCTTGTAAATTTGAATGGCTTCCAACTACCCATATTGATTTCATCTTCAATAACCTGACTAAATCTCTCCACAAAGAAGGTGAAGAGATATGGAGACATCAAATCCCCTTGTCACAATCTTCTTAAAGGTTTAATATCTCTACAAGGTTCTCCATTCCATAACACTTGGAGGGTGGCACTTTGCACACATGCCATAATGGAATTGCACAAGTTCTCCTTCAATCCTATGTTTCAATATTTTCTTAAATGACTTCTGCCCGTTTTAAAGGAACTTTCAGGCCTCTTGCAGGTCTTAGTTCCAGCCCTTATTTATAATCTGTATCCCCATTCGATGAGAGTCAAGGACTAATGTTTGGTCTTAGAATTGATGATGAAAGACGGGTTCAGCCCAAGATGCGTGTTTGCCCAAAAAAATCCAATAGCCATGATCACCAAGAAAAAATGGAATTACCAATACAGGCATGTAATTATCAAATATTAATTCCTTTTTCATATTTTTATTTAAATGTTTAATTTATCCATCCATCAATCTTCAAATATCTTGTAATCACCGCCTCTTTAATTATCCTTTAGACTGTTTTTGAAGTTTTATACCATTAGGGCTGCCACGTTGACAACAATAAATGAAATTTGCGACAGATTTTATGATGAAAGTACTTCACGGGAATTTTTCTATTTTATATAAGCATGGGATTGTTAATTCCAAATTCCATATGATTTTATATTTTTTTAGGAGAGATTTTGTCCTCAGTCTCAATCAATAATTTTTAG